TGAACAACAGAGGAAGAGGAGCTCATCCCCACTGATGGGCCAAGACAAAACTTTGGATGGAAACACTCATACAATAGAGCTATGTGAAATGCCAGGAGAGTCCTTCAACGCAATCACCATAATGATGCTCAATGAAATGAGGATCTGTATGGTGTAGAACTTCAACAAACATAGAGAAAGTATGGGAAAAATTGAAACCAATATCATAGAGCTGAAGAACACAGTAGCTGAATAAGAACAATAATAAAAATACAGTAAGCAGGTTCAACAGAAAAGTGGAAGAAGGCAATAAAGAAATCAGTAAGCTCAAATATCAAATAAAAGTATTTTTAGGAGGATAAGTAAACTGTGCCACAATATTAAGATAAATAATTCACATCCTGGAGATCCCAAAAGGGAAAGAGAAAGAGGGGTAGAACTATTATTTAAAAGGATAAAAGTTGAGAACTTCCCCAAACTGGAGGGGGAAAAGCAGACATTTCAATCTAAGAAATGCAAACAGTTCCTGAAAAATAAATAAATATACCAAAAGACATGCACACCAAGATCCGGTATATTTAAAATGACAAAAGTCAAAATTAAAGAGAAAATTCTAATAATATAAAAAACAAAGAAGTATATATAAGGATTCCCACTTAGACTATTAGCAGATTGCACTCACTGAATCTCTATAGACTAGAACAGAGTGACAAATAGAGTATTTCTTGAATCAATAATACTCTATCCAACTAAGGTACCACTCGTCTTTGAAAGACTTATTGAAAAGCTTTTTAGCCAAATAACCATTAGAGAATTCTAAACCACTGCTGCCAGCAATACTAAGGATACTTATTTTAAAATGGAATTCAAGTCTATTTGGAAGCTATCTGAAGTAAAAACAAAACATAAAAAATGTGGGAGATAAAAAAGTAGTAACAGGGACTCATAACAGACTTGAGATTTGTCAGCTTTCAATTTAAAATTAGCTCTAAATTTAGAACCTCACGGTAACCTTGAATCATAAATACTTTGGAACAAAAAAATAAAGACAAATAATAACCCCCCCCCCAAAAAAATCACTACTCAAAAGAAAGATGTCAAGGAACAAGAGAACATAATGAAAAACAAAAACAAATAAAAAAAGATACAGACTGTAATAACACTCAAAATCTACATCAGAAAATGGTAATAAATTATTATAGACCACAAAGTGGTATTGACCTAACCAATCAAAAAGGTAAAGAATGATGGGATGGATCAGAAAAACAAACAAACAAACAGAAAAACCGAACTGTTTGCTGTTTCAGAAGGCCCACTTAAACTTTGGTGATAAAGATAAGTTTAAACTAAAAGATTGGAAAATATACAAGCATATAGTAGTCTAAGGAAAGGACAAGGACAGACATACTTAAAACAAGTTAAAATTTGCATCAAACTAAAATGAGTAACAGAAGTTGAGGGTGAAGTTCAGTTGTTGAATGCATACTGCATGTGTATGATGCTCTGGATTTCATCCCCAGCATGCTGAAAAAAATAAATTTTAAAGGTAAAAGGAGAAAGGGATAGGCATTATATAGTAATTAAAGGATCAGGAGGATTTAAAAATCATGAACATGTGCACCAAATGAAGAGCATTAAAATAAGTTAAGTAACAATTAAAGATCCTGAATAGTGACATCAACAATAATGCTGTAATAGTAGAGGACTTGAACGACCTGCTCTTACCAATTGAATGTTAAGCAGAGAGAGAATTATTAAGTAAAAACAGTTTTAAATGAGGAGCTAAGCGAGAAGAACTTGCAGCCATTTACAGGGTTCTCTTCCCTGTGTTTGACCAAAAGTCCAATACATATTCTTCTGAAATATACATGAAACAGTCTTGATAAAAGACTCTATGTTGGAGATAAAAAAAAGTGTCCTTAAATTCATGGAAAAATAGATCTTCTCAAGTGTATTTTCAGATCACAATGGTACAAATCTAGAACAAAAAGAAAGCTGGGGAAAAACTCAAATATCTGAGCCTAAACAACATACTGCAAAATAGTTATCGGGACAGCAAGAAAATAAAAGGAGAAAATGAAAGAAATAAATCCAGGATACAGATTAACATGAAGGCAACATCAGATTAGGATTTGTGGGGCATAACAAATGAGGAACTAAAAGGAAAGTGCTTAGTAATACAGACTGAAATCAGAAAACATCAAAAAGTTTAAATACCAATCCATTTTCACAATCTAAATAGGAAAAAAAAACTAAAATCAGTAGAAGGTATTGTGATTATAAAAATTTAAGAGCAAATAAGCAAAATAATCTTTATTTTTAAATTCAGAACATCAGAGCCAGAGATATAGTACAACAAGCAGTGCCCTTGCATGCATGCTGCCGACCTGATTTGATCCCCAGCACCAAAATTGGTTTCCCGAATACCACAAGAAGTAATCCTTTAGTATAGAGTCAGAAGAAAATATTGAGCTCAGCCAGATGCACCCACACAACAAACAAATGAAAAATCAATGAATACAAGAACTGATTATTCACAAGGACATAAAATTGATAATGCTTTAGTTAGATTCACCTGCAAAAAAAAGGAGAGGAGGAGGAGGAGAAGGAGGAGGAGGAGGAGGAGAAGGAGGAGGAGGAGGAGGAGAAGGAGGAGGAGGAGGAGGAGAAAACTGAGATGACCAAATACCCATCCCCTCAAGCTCTTAAAAATAAAGCAAGGGGATTCTTAAAATTATATTGTATTAAAGGAAATATTATGTTAACATCAAAATCAGACAAGAGTACCCCCTCCCCAAAGTACATAGACTAATGTCACTGATGAACATAGTTGCAAAGATCTCCAACAAAGTTTCTGTGAACCTAATTTAACAATGAAGTACTAGAAACTACCTAATGACAAGATACAATTTTGTTGGTTGGTTTCTTAGATTTTTAGTTTGGGAGCCATGCCCAGATACATTCAGGGTTTATACCTAGTTCTGTGATCAGGGATTATTCCTTGCGGGCTCAGGGGCTTATACAAGGTTTGGGGGACTGAACTCCAATCAGCTGAGTGCAAGGCAAGCACCTAGTAGCCCTGACCCAGCCATACACAGTCTTGTGAGCCAATGTTACTTAAGTGGGAAAAAGAATTAAAACAACTATGTGTAGAAAAGAAAACAAGGTAAACCATGTGAGAGAAAAAGGGTGGGACTGGAAAATTGTGTGACTTTTTGGAGTGGCATGTGAACTTAATGACAAGAAGCTGTGATTTAGGAGCTGGGGAAAACGTCCTACATAGTGAACAAACTGCAAAATCCCATAGATAAGAGGGAGCTCAGAGCAGTCAAGGAACAAAGTAAACCAGAGTATATGATGCTTGGTATATGAGAAGGAAAGTGGTCTAAAAGGAAAAAACAGGAGACGAGGTGAAACAATGTGTTAAGAAAGATAAATCCCAGGCCAGAGATATAGTACAGCGTGTAGAGTGCTCACCTTGCACATGACCAACCATGGTTTGATCCCTGGCACCTGATGTGGTCCCCTGAGCCTACTGGGAGTGATCACTGAGCTCAGAGCCAAGTGTAAGCACTGAGCTCAGCCAGGTGTGGCCCCAAACCAAACAAACAAAGTGATAAATCCAATTTTAATTGTGGGAAGTCATATGTGCCCTGCCCTTCCCATCCCGGAACCAGCAATTCACAGGATAGAAAACATTGAAAAGATTGCTTTACTTACTACCTGACTGAACAGAACAGAGATAGGGAAAAGTAACAGTATATGAAGAAGGTGTGACATGCCATTTTCAGGTTGATTAACAAAATCTGTTGACTTATTGATGTGCTGGGCGGGGCAGTAAGAGAGGGCATGGGACATAATAGAAGTAGTAGAGGGAAGAGGGACTTTGCCACCATACTAGAAATAGGGGATTCTCCTGAACATGCTATATCCATAGACCGTGAGTTTGAAGTGTAAAGTAAAATTAGAAGACCAGGGACCAGAAGAAGAGAGCTAGGTCTGAATCGGGTGACTCCTCCCAAGCATACCAAGGAGAGCGGTTTTCAGACAGTTGAGAAACATATGAGAGAAGTGGCGATTCTCAGGAGAAGGATGTGAAATGGAGCATTTGACTTGGAGGTTGCCACAACAATTAAGACGAGGGAAGCGAAAAAGCAGTGTTGTCGCCTTAAAGTACGTGTTTTAATGTCAGGTAACATCTATGGTTATCAAAACTTGTGCAGAGTTGCGACTCTGTAGTAAATAGAAATCCAGGATGTTGCTAAACACTCAACAATGGAGAAGACAAGCCCTAACAACAAGATCTACCTGGTCCAAACTGTCAGCAGTGACCTGGATGAAAAAAATCCCATTTTCCAGCTAGTGCTAAAGTCACATAACTGAGAGAGAGGGGCAGAAACAAGAGGCAGAAACAGAAAGGATTGGAATTAATTTTAATAGAGCTACACTAAACACCGAACAGAGCTCTGGGGATGAGGGAACCAGGGCTGTAAAGGGCTCATAGCCAGAGGTGGGTGGGTGGGATGTGCGATGCTGGGGATCAAACTCAAGGTTTTATCCAGGCTGAACTCTATGCCTTGAGCTACCCATGGACTAGATAAATTTTACCAGGTATTGGAAAACATGGTCCGGGAAAATGGGTGAGCCTTGGTGTTGTTACTGAGAAATTTATGAAGAGGATTAGAGTAGATCTGTGTATAAACAAAATTGTGAATTGCATTTGAATACAGAATGGGAAAAGTGAGTTGCAGATGCCTGTGAAGTCACACAATAGGCAGAGTCGTAAGCACATGAATATCCAAACGCCCTTTGCCAAAGAGAAATTATGTAAAGTAATTGTTCAGTACATAAGGAAATCGAGAGAAGACACTAGGGCAGGGATGAAGATGAAGTTTACTCTTGAACTAGATCTAGCATTGATCGGTGTACAGATGGACGCCTGGAAGTGTTTTGGAAGCATCTGCCGCTGGGGATGATTACTATGTTTTTTAACAGAAATTTTTAATTGTCCTTTTGTGTAGGAGCGGATACAAGCTGATGAAGTGATTGCGATACTGGATCAAGAGCAGCAAGGAAAGCATGACCTGAATATCAACCCCAGAGATGAGCTATAAAAACGAGGGGGGGGGGCAAATGTTCTATCAGATATTTATTTAAATTGTTAAACTTATGAGAACTTTTCTATTTTTGTACAGAGCCATGGTATAAATTAACAGGTTAATGTGAGTCACCAGCTCCCCCTTCTGTTCCTAAGGATGCTTACATTGCAGTTTGTTCTTCATGTCCTGTACATCAGTTTCTCTAAAGATCTCTCTCTCTCTCTCTCTCTCTCTCTCTCTCTCTCTCTCTCTCTCTCTGAGCTAAAGATACAAGCTTTCAAGCAGATAAAGTAAGAGTTCATTATTCTTGGCAAAACTTTAATTCTCATGCATCTTCCTGTTCTAAAGTTAGCATGCAATTTGGGCTTCAAAGAACTTTCTGGTTCTATGCCAATGAGCCGAACTCTCTCACGGTGCGGAGAGCCCTGAATCTGAGTCTTAAGATCCCTCATGTGGTGCACACTGTTTCATGTATCACTGAACTAAGGATCCTCAGTCTCTGAGCAGGGACATTTTTCCTGAGTAATGCATGAATCAAGACCCAGCCATCCATCAGCACACTTCTGGGCTCTCGTATTTTCATGATAGAGAAAAGCCAACTCTGGAATTAAGCTCTGTCTGCCTCATATCCAGGGGAGACTGCCCCCTAAGTTGTGTCTTCTAAAAAATTTAAGGGTTAAAATGGAATGTCTGCTTGCTCTCATGACTTTTGAAGAAAATCATTAATCCCACCTGAATCAGGGCACTTGCTCTTGCCACGTTGCCTCAGAATAAGGTTGATTGGTGAAAAGGAATGTTTCCTTTGAAAAATTGATTTCTGATAATTCCAAATTTTCATCTGCACATATTTTGGTTGTCATTCTGCCTCGCTGCACTCCAGCACACAGATTCATACTGGTGTCTGATTTGTTTAATAAAGGGAGCCTTATTGTAATATGTGTCATTTTTTTTCTAAATCTTTCATTTATCTTTAGATAATGGTTTCGTGTTCCCACTGGAACTTTGGCGAAAACTTAGGAACAGATCATGTACCATGGTCTAATTTTACTGGTAGTTGCTCTGGGGACACTTCAGGTGGAACCCAGGGGCTCTTACATGCAATGCAGATGCTTTACTACTGAGCCACTTCTACTGCCCAGAAAATGCCAATTATTTTTAAACATTTATTAACTGAGATTCTGTGATTTACAATGCTATTAACAATGATTTTTCATGCACTACTTTTAAAGGAACAGAGAAAACTAGCAAACAGGTCAACCTAAAAAGTGCTTGGTTCTTGACCTCAATTTTAAGGAAGAGACTGCCCAAGGGTATTTAGGGTGGAGCTCTAGCTGTTCCAGTTCAGGGTCACTATCCAGGAGGAGCTACCTGCCCTCATGATGGGGCGAGGCAGAGGTATTAGTGGGTAAGTAAACGAGCAAATGAAAACATTTTCTAGAAATCCCATTTACTTTGTGCCATTTAGTATCTTGGTAAATGACAAGAACATTAATCCACTGAGACTGAAAAATTGAGTCATGGTGATTTATGTGCCATCTGTTTTCCACAGAACCTTCTGGTTGCATTTTCCTCATGAGAGAGCAGAAAGAGCATTAGATTATAATCTCAAACCCATCAAATATGCCCTGCTATATGACCTGGAGCTACTCTCTTTCCCTGTTCTTCTTTGAAAATGACATAATTGGTTGTAATTGTTGCCCAAAGTCCTCCCCCTCTTCTTCTTGCTCTAAAGACAAGCATGAAAGAAAAAAATAACTTCATTCATTTTAGAAATGATCACAAAAATTAAACCACATCTTCTCGACCAACATTTTTAAACATTCTAAATGGATGGATTTTGTGTTATAGATGGGCTTTTATAATTATAAACCCAACAGTAGAGCTGAAAATCCCTGAGCTTTGAAAAGGTAGACTTCTCTGTTGTCTCCATGAGACATGTTTGCTGGCACAGAGATTTGCTGAGAGCAGGATATGAGCCTGGATCTAATTTCTGTGTTCTGGCAACAAGGCATCAACCAAGTAAACAACCGTTGGCTTTTAGCAGTTTCCGCTTCCTGGGTGCAGTGGACACCCTGGGTATGGCGCTCTGTTATGCCATTTAGCCCCGAAGAAAGTAGGTGAAGGCCTCAATTGATGTCTTTGTGTTAGATCCACATCTTGGGCCATTTTCTGACTACACAGAGTAGCGATTCCTGTTTTTCAGGTTAAGTACGTTGTTTTATACCTGTGACATCGTGTCTACATTAAAGCGTTTAATTTTTCAATCTTCTCCACATCAAACCATACACAATTTCATTCAGAGAGTTAGGAAGTGTCATCAGATGTTTTCTGAGAAACCCAAGTCAGAAAAGTACGGTCTGTGTGTTAAAAGGTGTGGAAGGATGAAGAAGGTTCTGTAGAAAGTTGAAGAATTCATTAGAAATTGTGCTGCTGTTGTTGCTGAAGGGGGTTACTCAAATTTCGTCTTTCTCTTGGTGAGGAAACAGAGGCTAAGAGAGGAAAATTGATGATTTGAAGTTACAGACTTTCAGTAAGCAGAGTCAGGGCTGCTCAGTTGAGTTACGTCACGATGCCTTGTTCAGAGCTGAAATTCTAGCACTAGGTGATAACCACCAGATGAAGGAGTGTCTTTTCTATCCAAATATAGTGTTCTTTTTCTTTAATATGTGTTTTTTTTCAGCACTTGCACAGAAGGGATATTTTATTTCAATTAACCAGAAAGCTTCTATGTTGCTCTGAAGTTATTTCAGACTATAAATTCTTATTTTTCATAACTTCAAGTCCCTTCTTTTGCACCCATAGTTTTGGAAAATTTCAAATTATTTTGATGATTATCCTCTGGGCAAAACAAAATGAAACAGAGCAAAAAAGTTATAGAGGACTTTTATTTTTACTTCTGTTACTTGCCCCTATCATGAGTTTGCTCACCTACAAGGAACTACAGGAGATATTCTGACCACACATTGGTTCATGCCCATTTATCCAAAGAGTAAATGGAGATTGGTGAAGGAACTTGAGAGTCTGTGGTCATTCAGGTTGGAGTTGTATGTCTGGGGTAGATCATTCAGCTTGGAGTTGTATGTCTAGAGTAGAAACACAGTCTTTGAAAAAGAAAGGGAGAGAAGAGCAAAAATATTTACTCCTATGGCCATGATGCCAGATATATTAAATAAAAATTAATATATTAAGTTTGAATTGAAAATTTTGGTTTTATGGAATGAAATTTTTTTATTTTCCAGCTGAGAGATGTGTGAAGACATATTATCTCCTCTGGGATAGATTGGATATGGACTCCATAATTAAATTACATCAACCTCATTTCGGAGCAAAAACAATGAGCCAGGCCCTTGCTTCATGAAGCTTAGAGAAGAGAAAATAGTTCTGGCCAGTTGTCATCTTTCTCTCCCTCCAGCGCGGGGAGAAATCATGAGCTGACACTTCTTTCTCTCCAGTGCAAGAAGGAATCTTGTACTGAAATTTCTCTTTGAGAAAACATAAACATAAGACAGAGTGATATTCTTGAAAATGCTTGGTGCTTTCTACAGAACATGCATATAAATTGTCTGCAAGGGAACTTTTAGTTCTACTGCAGTCTTCATCATTACTGTGTACATAGCGTTTTTGGCACTTAATCAGCTGAGGAGAAGCCATGAAATGAGTCAGTAACATTTAATAATATGTACCTATGAATTTTAATTGAAGTACAAATGCTGAATTATTTCATATAAGACAGCCACAGGGAATAACTCCCTCATTGACGTCAAGAAGGGAGGTAATGGGAGCCACCTCACTAGCGCCTTACGCCAAAGAATTAAATAGTCTGAGGTGACTGACAATAGTATGGCTGAGAACTGGGAAAAACTGAACTGTTCCCACATCCACAACTCTTTGTGGAAACAGGAGCCATTTGGCAGAAAACTCCAAACCACAAGCTAGAATGAGCCCACAGTTACAATACCTCTTTACCTCCTGCCAAAAAGCCTATGATGTGAAGTGACCTCCCCACATAGACAGTTCCACAGCCCACCCGCAAATCCTCTACTTCCAGTTAATTCCATGTTTCCAACATAAGACATAAATAAGGGCGCTTTTCATTTTGGAGAGGGTTTTTGATTTCTTCAAACGCATTAAGACAAGTAACATCAACTCTTTGAGCTCACTGTTGGGCTGGGGCTGCAGACTCATTCTTTCAGAGCTTCTCCCTTCCCTCCTCCTCCCTAACCTCCCCTGTACATCAGTCTGATCTCTCCACTCAGTGCTGACCTCCGGAGGCCAGCCAACATCAGGTCTGGAACAATCTGATCATCAATCCTGGCTTGCTGTCCAATGGCATCTGTCATATGAAGAGTTGCGTTAGTGAGTCACCTCTGCCTCCAAATATTTTGCTAAGGGCCCACAAGAAAAACAACCAAACATGATGTTCCTGCCTTTTTATTTTCCGTAACACACATTACCAGGGAGGAAAATCTGAGTGTTCCATATATTTGATGTACAACACAACTCTTTGACTACCTCCATGATACACTGGGGATAGAAGTGAATAAAAGGTGAGCCGACTGTTTTATTCTCCACTTCTCTGGAAGATCACTGCAGGGGAGGTCAATGATTGAACAGTTTGTCAGCTTCTCCACCTGAACCATACATGTCCCAAATTGTCATCTTCACAAGTGAGTCTTCACTTCTCCAGTTAATTGGGGATTGTCCATCTATCTGGAAGCTCTGTCCCTGACCCACTTACCCAATTTAGAGATTTTCCATCCTGGTGGTAGTGTAATAGCACACACTCTGAAAATGCACAAACCTAGCAGCTAAGTCTATCTAGATTCTAGTTACACCTTCTTCCTTCCTCTCAATTTAGAGCTTTGACTTCTGAATTACTATCTGATGATGGGTGGGAATCAAAATTGAGACAAGAAATATTTTCTGCTGTACCTCATCTTTTTCCACTTGTAAATCACATATTCCATTATTTCAAAGAGTTATAATCATCGTTGGCATCTATAAAGCATAGTTTATGGTCTTGAGGCCCTTGGAAATCACTCAAAACTACACAATTATCTTGAGAGACACATTAGTGAAATCTTCACTTTGTAAACAAGGAAGATGAGTAGTCACAGAGATTGTGCTATAATATAGCTTTGGTTGTGTAATATGATCCATTTCTCTGATGAATTTTTGAGTGACTCTTTCGTTGTGGGTATATAGAGTTTTTCAAAGATTAGTAAAATTGCATCTTTCCTTTAAAAACATCAAAATAGAAAAAAAGATGCAAAGAAATGAAAGATGTACAAAGTGTCATTACAGAAGGGTTTGAGATATACAGGTAAAGTATAAGTCACATGATGTCAGGAAGGAAATGGCTGGGGATACAGAGAAATTGACACAGAAGGTAGCACTGGGTCTTATGTGCTTGTATTGTCAACAGTCAGCAGAAATGAGGCCCCACGTCTCTCTCCTCCACAAAGGAGTGTTGAGTTTGAACTGCTTATCCCTTTGCCTTAAAGCCTCAAGCTTTCAAAGAAAACTGGAGTGTTCATATGAGAGGTTCGCATGCTGGGAGTGTGGTAGAGTGAGATCTTTACTAGAGCTAGCCCTGGGAAAGTACTCTAATGAATGCTGTGAAAATCCAAGTAAATGCTAGTTAAAAAGCACATTTTAGTTTACTCCCCTGTGAGGAGGTGTATTTAAGTGGGTGGAGTAAATATGTCAAGAACCATGCTCCATCTGGAAAGAAGGGCAGAGGAGAAAAGCTACAGTGAGCCCCCCCCCATTCAGTGGGTTAAGATCTTAAGGAAATCTTCCAACAGCGTCGCCCTCTACCTGTGTGACTAAGAAACCTTTGCTCCATATGCCCATGAGCCAGTCTACTTACTCAAATCTTTATGTTATTATCTCAGAAAAGGGGATAATCAGATTGTTCCAGACCTC